GAATGTGCATCAGCCCGGCCAGTTTAAGAGGCTGGAACAGTCAGCTTAGGCTCAGGTCTTTAAGGAGACAGCAGAGGAATTGCCCACCAGGCACGGAACCAATTCCTTCGTATCAACCTTTCAGCCCAAAGGCACCTCACAACGCGCGCAGACCCGTGACTGACCTCTGCTCGGGCAGCGCGCACATCTCGGCGTAGTACTTGATCTTTGGTTCTGTTCCACTTGTCCGAAGGGTGGCAACACAACCGTTTTGAAACGTAAAAGTGATCATCTGACTGCTTTTACTCACTGGCAGCACCTACATAGACGACGACAACGTTTTATTACAGAACGCCCCAACGAACACAAAATATACAGCGTTCACCACATAAAAAGCTAAATAAATACGCTGAAATCTCCTGCAGTACATACCCACCAGCCAACGCAACAGGCTGGAACCTGTCATTTCAACTCAGGTCAGTCTCAATGTTTGAGGAGAAGAGGATTGGCTCATACTCCCACTAAAATTCCAACACCTGGAAGTCTATTATAGCTTAAGAGTTGAGGGAGCACCAAGCTCACTACAGTTCATTCATTGCTGTATCGAAACAGCCAACACACCGACAAGACATTTCACATTTCCTTCCCAGTAAACGTTGTTAAGCAGTCTTAACAGATGATGGCAATTCCACTGCCATCTTCGTTGACACAGTATGGCTTTCTGCATAGCTCTTAGCGTATTTAACTCGCAGCCTCTTCAAAAAAACAGAGCTTCTCCCGCAAAAATATTTTGTAACTCACCGATTTCTCGTTTGGCTGGCTGCTGTCATAGCCAGTGGTAATGTCTCGTACGTGTAATATATTGTAAATACCACAAAACTTTGGATAAGACTGAGGGGCATCAAAGTTCCGAAGTTTCTCAAATATCCTTTTGATAGTAGAAGGATCGTAGCACAAGAAATAGGAAGTCTTCGATATGTGATATCCATACCTACAAGCAGATTAACTCTTTCAGTTACAAGATTCGGAAGTTTTCTGCATATCTTGTATCTAAAGGAAGCCCCTGTTTGGAAAAGCAACAACAGAACAAGAAGGCAGCTCTCGCAGCTGTGGGAGCAGATATTTACAGGCAAATGTTTGGACTCTGAAGCAGATTTCACTGCATTACTCAGATCATCCTAAGCTATTTGTAAATTCGAGCAAAGGTTTCTGTTCCAAAGAAAAGTCAACCCTTTGGCTAAGTGTAGCCTTGATAGCCCTCAGGAAATTAATATGCAGTGTCATTCCCACACCATCAAAAATTGTGTGCCATAGCCACGTGGGCCGTCGTAACAACAGATTATTTCAACAGCCTCTGAGGAAGATGATTATTTCACCCAAGTTAAAACAACTATCCCCAATCAGACCTAGTGCAAGCACTGATTAAGTGCAGCAACTGTGTCTGCATATTGAAATTAAGTTGTTCTTCACTATATTCCATCCACTCCTCATTCTACAGAGATCCTTCTCTGCAGCTTCAAAAATTAAGTGACTGGAAGATTACTCCCCC